CCAGGTAACTTGATATCAGCTCAGTGTTCCAGCACCGAGAGGGGAGACGGCATGCAGGTAGTTACATACATCGTTTCTGCTTCTGTCTGTCTTGTTGGCCACGTCCAGCTGCAGGAGAGGTAAGGAATGTCATTACCTGGGACATTTTTCAGGCTGAAATTGGGGGAGTTCTAGAGGAAAGGATGTATATTGGAGTCAACTAGCAGAATCTACACCAGGTATATTTTATCATTTCCCTCATTTTATAGATGAGGGAATCAAGGTTGTAACTCGACTAAAGTAAGACAGGAATTAAATGGTAGGATAAGGGACTTAAGCCAAGACTTGTTTGTCTCTGGCCTATGCATCTCACTCCTCTGCCACATAGTTTCTCTCTCTTTTATGGAAGATGTTACTAGCTATAGGGACAAAGAACTGTGAATGAATATCAGGATGACATCTAGGGAGTTTGCCAACACATTCAGAAGGGAGAGTCTAGAGCTGGGTTAGACATTCAAGATCAGCAACCTCCTAGGCTGGCAAAGAAAATGCTGCCAAGGCTGGCTGATGCTCAGGAAGGTGAATGGAGATGCAGGGCCCTGTGGCATTCCTCTGGCTTCTTGTTCAACTCTGGATTCTGAAGATAAACTTCTGGTGTCATCAGCCCAAGGGCATTTTTTAGATCTTTGATTCCTTCGTTGAGCAATTAGTCTTTCTTACTGAGCTAAGGTATTGCAGTGTTAGATCCCGAGGAGAGAGATGTGACCCTTAGCCCAAATGACAAATGGAACAGACCTGTTTTACAAATACACATTCAATAGAGGTGTTAGATTTCTTCAGTTGGAATTCATACTTTCTGTGGACGACTAGGAAGCTTTTGTGAAACCTTGAATGTTAAGTTTTTAATGAATATTCATAGGTAGAGTACTGCTTGATGGCTTAGACACCCAATTAAATGAGTCATGAGAATAATTACAGTTTGGGTAGATCAGGTGTTGGTGACAGAGAGTAGGATGAGGTCTATGAAGAGGTCGACATCTGTCCTAAGTGTTAGGGTGGATGTAAATATCATAAGTGAGCACTCTACGGTAGAAACATAATGTGAGCCACATATGTGGCTTTAGATTTTCTAATATCCCACATTAATAAAATTAAAAAATTAAGTGATTTTAATAATACATTATGTTTAAACCAATATGCAAAAATACTATTTCACCTTATAGTCAATGTAAAAATTTAGAGATATTTTACTTTTTGTATGAAGTCTTTGAAATCTGTGTGTATTTTACACTGACAACAAATCTTGATGTGAGCTAGCCTCATTTAAAGTGCTCCACAGGCATATGTGGCTGGTGGCTATGATATTGTGCCATGTAGTTATAGATAATAAGATGTGGAAGTCTAGACGTTCAAGTTTACATAGGAGAGTTTGAAGAGCTCTTAGAGAACTATAACTTCCCAGCCCACAAAATGCTGCTTAACCAATATTGATGTACAATATAATACTTACAACACTGTTTCAACTGTACTTGTCATTTCTCACATAATATCTCTGATATAAAAAGTTTGGACACAAAATCTATTCCTAATGGTAGGTTGAGTGAGTTCTTTGATGCTCCAGGAATTAACAACTTCTCAATGATTCTGAAGAAGGCCTACTTCAAATGCCAGCTTCCTTGATGCTGGTTTGTATAAATGAGTCTTTATAAGGTGAGTATAATTGCTTAGGTAAACCTACATGTATTTATTATTCTTACATGCCCCTAAAATTAGAATTTGTGTTTCTGTGTTAGTGTTTCTTAACCCTGGCTGTGCATCAGAATGATCTGGAGCCAGGAAAGGAAGCCTTTAGGAATCAGAACTTCTGGGAATGACTCTTAGGCAGGCATATATTCCAGATTTTCCACAAGGCATTTTGATGGACAGTTGGGGTTGAGAACTACTACTATGGACTTAGTTCCCATGTATGGAAGGTGAGAGTGGGCATGGAAAGTACTAATTGTCATGAGTGATAATTATTTGGCTCAGTTCTGGAAAATGGGGAGAAAATGTTATAATTCAAAAGTAGAGCAGCATGGAAGGAACAAAAAATAAACTTTAGATAAAAAGTCCAGTAATGATTTATCATCCCAACAAAACCAGCTAGACACTGACATAGATAAGGGCTATGCCATGTCTTTTCTGGAACATGGTCAACATTTATATATACATATATATTCATGAATCTCTACCCAAACCCACCTTGCTTACCTGCCTTTGGGAAAGCCTCCAAAAAAACATTCAATTGCAAATGAGATGTACAGTTTTATGGTCTGTAAACAAGGAATTTTGTTTGAAGTATGTGAATTTAGGCAGTGCGAGATATTATAAAACACAGTGCAAAAGAACATTTACATTTTCAGCCAATGTGATTACTTAGGTAAAATAGAGTAACTGCACATTTTCATCTCAGTATTTTACAATGAGCACAAATTACCATTCTATAAGTAAATATCAATTAACTTCTACTTTTTAGATGTGTGTGTTTTTAAAAAGGCATTAGTAAGTAATGGTAGACTTCCAATACTACCCTATTTATCCAATACTACTCTATTTCAAAGAAATGTACCATTATTGGATAAAAAGCTATTTAAATTATGAGGACAATATCTGGGAGAGGGATTTTCTAAAAACAAACTTTGGATAAAAATGACTTCAAACTTATGATGGATTGAATCCCTTAGTATAGAAGAAAAGTAATTAAAATAAGTACACATCAATCCTTAGGTGTAGGCAAAATAAACAACTACTGAGTGCTATGATTTCAAGATCTCTTGGAAGGACCTCCAAATCCTACCTGAGCCCTCCAACGGTAAAGCATTTTTAGAAGCTCATTTGTCTGAAAATTCTCAAGGGAAAAACGACAGTGTGCTGCAGAACTGACATTATAAGTTGATGTCACCTGCCAATGTGATTACTCAGGTAAAATAGAGTACCTACACATTTTATTTTTACAAGGTGTGCATGGGGAAAAAACACACACAGCGAAGCTCTCGGTCGTTCCTGCTCCTCGCGCCTCCGCCCAGCCTGCTCTGCCTCTGCTCTCTCCTTCTAATGAAAGCCTGCTAGGCTCTGCTCACACTCTTCTTTCCGTTCCTGCTGACCTTTAATTTGTAGGCCAACAATTAGCAAAAACATACAACCCTATTTGGTAGATTTCCAGAGGAGCTGACATATATGTGACTTGGGGGGACACATTTTCTCTGTTCCATTGTGCCTCAAACTCGTGTTTGGTGTGTGTAGGCTGTTTTCCTGGTGCCAGCTCATCACCAGCTAGGCCCTGGCCTGCGGATGCTTTGCTTTAGGAGAAAGGGAAATACAGAATTATAGTCCTTGAAAAAGGGGAGCAGCGAGAACCCAGAACTGCTTAGAATTTCAAAAGAGAGAGGAGCTGGTTTGGGTTCCAAACCTAACAAGGGCTGAGGGCTGGGTGAGTCAAAAGGGCATAGTCAATAATCTGAAAATATAACATGGGGGCGCTAAAAGGATTGTATGTCTGAATTCTAAATGGCAGCGAAATGAAATGTGGGATGGGTGTGAGAAGGAGCTATGGGAAGGCTTTAGATAAGAAGAAATAAGAAATAATTATAGACATGGATAGCAGAACAGTTAAACTGATGGTGAGTGATTTCGTT